AAAAAAAGACCCTGATTGTAATCTTATAAAGTTACCAAAATAAACAATAAACTTTGGGAGAGAAAATGGAAGATACAGACTATTGGTCAAACTAGAGTCCTATCTCCGTACTGACTTTAATGTTACATTTCCTAAAGAAAATGAGCAATGGCGTATGATGAACTTACAGGCACTTTTCAAATTCTGGCAGAACAGTTCCTAACTGCATTCGCCGACGAGTTACATCAAATGGGTAGCTAAAAGAAAAAAAAGACGGGGGTGGGGGCAGGGGAAAAAAAAGGCATAAAGAATTAAAAACTTGTAGTTTTCTACTCAACAACTATTGAGTACAGAGCCCTATAAACTCAAAGAAATAATGTCTTACTGTTCTTATTGTTCTCTCTAACCTAGGAGTCAGGATACAGGCACATGAATAAAATCAATTAACAATAGAGACATCTTTGCTTATGTGACCCCTCTCATTAGAGGATTCTTCTCTCCCATCAAGTTCTGTTCATTCCTAAAAGCCAAATTAAATGCCACTTCCTGAAGAAACAAAATGGTTGCTTTTCATTGTTGAATGCTAATATAGGGTTTCTCAATATTGGCACTATTGACATTTTGGGCTGGATCATCCTTGGTTGTGGGGACCTGTCCTGTGCACTGCAGATGTTTAAGCGAATCCCTGACCTCTGCCCACTAGATGCCAGTAGCACTCTGCCAGCTGTGACAACCAAAAATGCCTCTAGACATTAACAAATGTCCACTGGCAATAAAATCACTCCCCGTTGAGAACTGTTCTAAGGTTATGCAGCAAGTCCCCTTGAACACAGCAGACCAATACAAAATTTTCCTTAAGGACTAAAACTAATAATACAGATAATTGCATTTCATGTTGGCATTGCCTGAAGTTAAATACACAATATACAAATGGAATCTTTTTTTGAGAGAGAGTCTTGCTCTGTTGCCCAGTCTGGAGTGCAGTGGTGCAATCTTGCTTCACTGCAACCTCCACCTCCAGGGTTCAAGCAATTCACTCCCTCAGCATCCAAGTAGCTGGGATTTCAGGCGCCCACCACCACACCCACCTAATTTTTGTATTTTTAGTAGAGACAGGGTTTCACCATGTTGGCCAAGGTGGTCTCAATCTCTTGGCCCAGTGATCTGCCTGCCTTGAGCTCCGAAAGTGCTGGAATTACAGGTGTGAGCTACCGCGCCTGGCCTCTTTTTTTTCTTAGGAACAGGGTCTCACTATGTCTCCCAGACTGGTCTCAAACTCCTGGGCTCAAGCAATCCTCCTACCACAGTCCCCAAGTAGCTGGGACAACAGACAGCACTACTGCATCCAAACTTGCAATTATTTGTAATATGCTTAAAGTGCATACACATCTAAAAGTATTAAGTTAATACTTATATTTTACAAGGGATCCTCTTTTTGAATAATCTATTAGAAAAATAAATGATTAATCCATGTTGAAAATCAGGATTGGGTAATTGTAATTTGACTGAATTAAGTTGGTGAATAAACTTACGATATTGTCTGTGCTATTGCTCCAGCAACACCACCACAAAGTAAGTTTATGTGAGTTTTCAAAACTAAGACATTGGGATTGTCTGATGAAGGTCTGCCAAGAAGGGTAGGGGCATGGGAAAGCCCAACACTCTTTAAAGTACCAAAAGTGAAAAATGAAACACCTGGAAAACAAACAAAAAAAATTCATCAGGATGCTGAACAGAACATGAGCTGTGACAAAGACACCATTCTTATATAATAACCACATTTCCTAGTTTCTAATGTTTGGATTAATCTAAAATAAAAACATTTGTGTATACAAATAACCTAAAGACAACAAAATTACCAACAAAAAATTATGGCTTTGGTTTTCACACACCACTGCAGTTTACAGCACTGAAGTAGGCAGTAGTTAACATAATGCCACTTTATATATGAAGAAAACTAAAGTTTTCCAAGGTTTCACATGAGAAAAATTAAATTCATGATTTAAAAATTTTTTTTTCTTTATTTCTTTCATACGCAAGCCTACATGAATGACATTTTTTTTTTTTTTTTTTTTAAAAGGAGTGTGGTTCTGTTTCCCAGGCTGGAGTGCAATGGAGCGATCTTGGCTCCCGGATTCAAGCGATTCTCCTGCCTCAGGCTCCCGATTAGCTGGGACTACAGGTGTGTGCCACCATGCCTGGCTAATTTTTTGTATTTTTAGTAGAGACAGGGTTTCACTGTGTTAGCCAGGATGGTCTCGATCTCCTGACCTCGTGATCCACCCCACCTGCCTCGGCCTCCCAAAGTGCTAGGATTACCGGCATGAGCCAACGCCTGGCCACTCGTAATTATTAATTAAAGGAAATGTAACAACTTACATTTAAAATAACAATGATAGTGATAATGTAACATATAGGCAAAAAATTCAGAAGTGAAAAAGCATTGTTATTTTAATTCAGTATCTAAGTTTGTCTTCAAGGAAGAATTGTGACCATGAGAGAAGCATTTACGTTGGTTCACACAACACAGAGAATCTAATAAAAACAATATGCAGGTAATGCTTGTTAAACATTACATGATTTTAATAGAACCATTAAGGATGTTTATTAATAAATATGAAAATCAAGCAGTCCTCCCAACTAATGATTACTCAAGATATTGTGATGTTTATTGAATTGGCCAGGTGCAGTGGCTCACGCCTGTATTCCCAGCACTTTGAGAGGCCCAGGTAGGTGGATCGCTTGAGACCAGAAGTTCAAGACCACCCTGACCAAAATGGTGAAACCCCGTCTCTACTAAAAATACAAAAATTAGCCAGGCGCAGTGGCACATGCTTGTAATCCCAGTTACTTGGGAGGCTGAGACAGGAGAATGGCTTGACACCAGGAAGGGGAGGTTGCAGTGAGCCGAGATCATGCTACGGCACTGCAGCATGAATGAGCAAGACTCCATCTGGAAAAAAAAAAAAAAGAAAGAAAGAAAAAGATGGCCAGGCGCAGTGGCTCAAGCCTGTAATCCCAGCACTTTGGGAGGCAGGCGGATCACAAGATCAGGAGATCAAGACCAGCCTGGCCAATATGGTGAAACCCCCATCTCTACTAAAATACAAAAAAATTAGCTGGGCATGGCGGCCTGTGCCTGTATTCTCAGCTACTTGGGAGACTGAGGCAGGAGAATTACAAGAACCAGGGAAGCGGAGGTTGCAGTGAACCGAGATCATGCTATTGCACTCCAGCCTGGGCAACAGAGCGAGATTCCATCTCAAAAAAAACAAAAAAGAACAAAAATTAGCTGGGCATGGTGTTGGACACCTATAGTAGCTACTCAGGAAGCTAAGACAAGAAAATCTCTTGAAGCCGGGAGGCGGAGCCAAGATCGCACCTGGGTGACAGAGCAAGACCTTGTCTCAAAAAACCTCCCCAAATCAAAAGACAAAAAAAAAAAAAAAAAAAAAGAGATTGTGATATTTATTACATTGAAAAATATATATATAAAAAGATACTTTATTTCCTTAAATAAAGAGGGTCTCACTCTGTCACCCAGGCTGGAGTGCCGTAGTAGCTCACTGCAGCCTCAAACTCCTGGGCTCAAGTGATCCTCCCACCTCAGCCTCTCGAGTAGCTGGGATTACGGCATTGTGCCACCATGTCCAGCTAACTTTCGAAATCTTTTGTAGATATGGAGGTCTTGCTTTGCTTCCCAGGCTGGTCTCAAAGTCTTGGCTCCAAGGGATCCTCCCACCTTGGACTCTCAAAGTGGCGGGATTATAGTTGTCAAACACAGTGCCCAGCCTTAAAAAGACAGTTAATGTTTGCTTAAAAAGATGTGAGTACCAACAAATATTCAGTTTAGGATAATATCTCAATATAAAATTCTTATAATCTTCTTTTTTTTTTTTGAAAAAGAGTTTCACTCTTTTGCCCAGGCTGGAGTGCAATGGTGTCATCTCGGTTCACCGCAACCTAAGCCTCCGAGGTTCAAGCAATTCTCCTGCTTCAGCCTCCTGAGTAGCTGAGATTACAGGTATGTGCCATCACTCCCAGCTAATTTTTTGTATTTTTAGTAGAGACAGGGTTTCTCCATGTTGATCAGACTGGTATCAAACTCCCAACCTCAGATGATCTGCCTGCCTCAGACTCCCAAAGTTCTGGGATTACAGGCATGAGCCACCATGCCCGGCCAAGAAGAGACTATTAAATAAAATGGTACTAAGTCAGAAGTGAAGAAAAAACAAAAATTCCTTTACAAAGAAAACAAATACTTCCAGACAGATTAGGGACATACATATAAAAGGCTAAATATTAAAAATCATTCTCAGAAGAAAATATATTTTTGACACAATAAGGACTATCCATAAAAGAATAGATTGATGCATTCAACTACCTTAAAATTTGAATTTCTGAAACACTAGAACAGTTACCAAAAAAAAAAAAAAAAAAAAGGCCAGGTGCAGTGGCTTACGCCTGTGATCCCAGCATTTTCGGAGGCCGAGGTGGGTGGATCAACTGAGGTCAGGAGTTCGAGACCAGCCTGACTAACATTGTGAAACCCCATCTGTACTAGAAATACAAAAATTAGCCAGGCGTAGTGGCAAGCACCTGTAATCCCAGCTACTTGGGAGGCTGAGACAGGAGAATCGCTTGAACCCGGGAGGCAGAGGTTGCAGTGAGCCGAAATCATGCCACCGTACTCCAGCCTGGGTGACACAGAAAGACCCTGTTTCAAAAAAAAAGAAGTTTTTTTTTCCAAACTGGACAGGGTCTTTGTCATTCAGGCAGGAGTACAGTGGCATAATCACAGCTAACTGTAGCTTCAACCTCCTGGGCTCAGGCAATACTCTTGCCTCAGCTTGTTAAGTAGCTGGGACAACACCAAGTATGGCTAATTTTAAAAAATTATTTGTTTCAGATCTCATGAGACTTAAAGAAAAAACAAACAACAAAAAAATTATTTGTAGAGACAGATTCTCCCCATGTTGCCAAGGCTGGTCTCAAATTCCTGGGCTTAAGTAATCCTCCTGCCTCAGCCTCCCAAAGTGCTGAGATTATACGTGTGAGCCACCATGCCTGGCCATACCACATTTTAGTTTGCTATTAGTGTACTGTTTTTTGTTTGTTTGTTTGATTTTTAGAGACAGTGTCTCACTCTGTCACCTAGGAAGCCATTATTTTGGATGAAGCTCCTGCACTACACCCTAACAGACCAGACTAAAAATCAAAACAGACTCACCCATGATTAAGGTCCACACTGTCAAACTAAAACTAGCTGTTATATGACTTCCTGAGAAATTAGAAAAAAGAAGTAACAGCCAAATTCCCTAACAGGGCAGTTTCAATCTTGAATAAACTTGATAGTTAACGTCCCTCTGCTTTATTTATTTATTTTTTTAGAGATGGAGTCTCCTTCACTCAGGCTGGAGTGCAGTGGCATGATCTCAGCTCACTGCAACCTCTGCTTCCCAGGTTCAAGCAATTCCCCTGCCTCAGCCTCCCAAGTAGCTGGGATTACAGGCATGCACCACCACACTTGGGTAATTTTTATATTTTTAGTAGAGACGGGGTTTTACCATATTGGCCAGGCCGGTCTCGAACTCAGGACCTCAGGTGATCCACCCGTCTTGGCTTTCCAAAGTGCTGGGATTACAAGCGTGAGCCACCACACCGGGCTCCTTCTACTTTAATGCGTACACAAAAAAGGTAGCCTAATGTAACCTGAAGTTAACTAGTGATTTTTCTATTTTATTCTCCCTGTCTCCAACTTCCAAGGATACTAACTTTGAACTGAGCAACCTGCTTCTTCATTGTTTCTGCTTTCTTCAACCTTTTCTCTATATAAAATGAATTCCAGCCAGGTGGGATGGCTTACACCTGTAATCCCAACACTTTGGGAGGCCAAGGTGGGTGACAAGAGATTAAAACCAATGGCTGGCTGTGGTGGCTCACGCCTATAATCCAAGCACTTTGGAGGCCAAGGCAGGCAGATCACCTGAGGTCAGGAGTTCAAGACCTGCCTAACCAACATGGTGAAACCCCATCTAAAAAAAATAAAATAAAAACCAATCCAGCCAACACGGTGAAACCCCATCTTTACATACAAAAATTAGCTAGGCATGGTGGTTTGTGCCTGTAGTCCCAGCTACTCGGTAGGCTGAGGCAGGAGAATCACTTGAACCTGGGGGCAGAGGTTGCAGTGAGCCAAGATCGTACCACTGCACTCCAGCCTGGCAACAGAGTGAGACTCCATCCCCACAAAAAAAAAATCAACTCCTGATCTAGTCATTACAACACTTAGGAAATGTATTGCCCAATTCTAGAATTGCAAATAAAGCCAATTGAGATGTTTAAATTAAACTGGCTGCAATTTTGTCGTGGCACACAACTGCATGTAAATCCATAATTACCCCAAAATAAAAAGTTTAGTTTAAAAAAAAACAACTTCACTCACAAGACTTTCTTGGAAAAAAAAAGAATAGGCTGACGCCCTTTTTGCCTCAGCCCGGCTGTTCCCAGGGGAAAAAAAAAAAAAAAAAATTTAAAAAATAAAAAAAAAAAAAAAAACAAAAACAAACAGAACTGTTAACAAGGTAATAACGGAGACTAGAGAACTACAGGTATCCTTATTTTTCTTCTTTCTACTTTTCTATAGTTTCAAAATTTCCCATAAGTCTTCATTATTTATGAGATAAAAACTACTTTTCAACTTCTATTTTAATTAACATGCCCATAAAAACTGAATGCCTAACATCATCTAACGTGTGTGTTAACAAGACTACAGCTGGCTCAGATATTAAGAAAAAGATGTAAAAGTACTTTTCTACTTATTGTACATGAATAGTCATGTTCAAATGCAAGATATTATTACGTGACCATGCATAAATCATTTCTTATGAAAAGTACTTAACAGATAGCATCTTTTTATATTACCATTTCAGAAAAAAAAAAGAAGGTAACAAATTTTAAACATACAAATTAAGATTCTGGCAAATTTGAAACATACCTGCATATGGAGCCATTCCTAAAATAGTAGGCATCAGGCCTCTGTAAAATCCAAAGAAACCACCTTCCTTTTGAGTGAAGAAAAATTGCAAGTGAGATTACATTGTGCTCATTATAATAAACATCAAAGAATAAAATCACACTTTATAACAGAAAAATTATGCTGGGATCCACCCTGAAACACAAAGATGTGCTTTCATAATTACTGTTATTAACATCAATAATTGTAAGTAAAATAATAATTATTTATGTAACATTCAAAATATTTTCCTAAGTATAAAAGGCCATGTTATAGATGAGGAAGGTAAATATGAAATACCTTTGCATAAATAGTTTTGAATGCATGAATAATTCCTGTATAGGTGTGTTCCCCTTTCACCTGGAATGCTAGGCGGACCCTAACCATGTCAAGAGGGTAAGTACAGATAACTGCTGTCATACCTGAAAAGAAAGTAGAAACTTAAAGGTAAAAAAAAATTTTTATATACACAAATATTTTCCTATCATTAGTAGTATTCTCAATATTATAACAATGGTAAAAACACAATGAAATCAAAGGGATATTAATGACAGAATTATGCCGTATCATTAGATGGAAAACAACTTAGTAAGTGAAGGGTCAGTTTGTAAAAATGTTTTCAAGTTCTTCCCACAGTGAAGTTATATTGTTAGCACCAAAATGGTGTAAGTGGATCACGAGGTTTTTTTTTTTTTAATTATTCTACTATTTATGTATTTCCAGTTTGGATATCAGAAAGGAAACACAGTAGGTCCTCCTGATCCATGGTTTCCACATCCATGGATTCAAGCAACCATGGATGGAAAATGTAGTGAGGTCTACAATGGTTGAATCTGTGCTGAACAGGTACAGACTTTTTGGTCACTATTTCCTAAAACATACAGGATAAAAAGTATTTGCATAGCAATTACCTTATAATAGGCATTATAATCTATACTCAGCCCAACACCATCTATTTCTTAATTTCTTTTCCCATGTTCCAAGCTTTCTAGTTACTGGCTCAAAGTAGTTTAATAAAAAATTACTGTGGGAGCCAGGCGCGGTGGGTCACGCCTGTAGTCCTAGCACTCTGGGAGGCAGAGGCAGGTAGATCACCTGAGGTCAGGAGTTCGAGACCAGCCTGGCCAACATGGTGAAACCCTATGTCTACTAAAAATATAAAAATTAGCTAGGTGTGGTGGCGAGCGCCTGTAATCCAGCTACTTGGGAGGCTGAGGCAGGAGAATCACTTGAACCCAGGAGGCGGTGGTTGCAGTCAGCCAAGATTGTGCCACTGCACTCCAGCCTGGGTGACAAAAGTAAAACTGCATCTAAAAAAAAAGGTGGGGGGGGGGAAGAAGAGAAAAGAAGATCACTATGAGAATTAATGTAGTAGTTAAGTAATGAATTGGCAGGACAAGAACATGCAGAAATTTGTAAAGGTAAAGGAGGTGGGCAGGTGCCGTGGCTCACACCTTTCAATCCCAGCACTTTGGGAGCCTGAGATGGGCAGATCACTTGAGCCCAAAAATTCAAGAACAGCCTAACACTATTTAAAAAATAGGCCACGCACAGTGGATCATGCCTTTAATCACAGCACTTTGGGAGGCCGAAGTGGGCGGATCACTTGAGGACAGGCGTTCAAGACCAGTCTGGCCAACATGGTAAAACCCCATCTCTACTAAAAATACAAAAATTAGCCAAGTGTGGTAGCGGGTGCCTGCAATCCCAGCTATTCTACTTGGGAGACTGAGGCAGGAGAATCGCTTGAACCCAGAAGGCAGAGGTTGCAGTGAGCCGTGATTGCACCACTGCACTCCAGTCTGGGCAACAGAGCCAGACTCCATCTCAAAAAAATAATAATAGGCCGGGCGCGGTGACTCACGCCTGTAATCCCAGCACTTTGGGAGGCCGAGGCAGGTGGATCACGAGGTCAAGAGATCGAGACCATCCTGGTCAACATGGTGAAACCCCGTCTCTATTAAAAATACAAAAAATCAGCTGGGCATGGTGGCACGTGCCTGTAATCCCAGCTACTCAGGAGGCTGAGGCAGGAGAATTGCCTGAACCCAGGAGGCGGAGGCTGCGGTGAGCCGAGACCGTGCCATTGCACTCCAGCCTGGGTAACAAGAGCGAAACTCCGTCTCAAAAAAAAAAATAATAATAATAATAATAATAATTAACTATTAACTATTGACTGATAGTCAAATTTGACCAAAATGGTCAAAAGTTAAGAGTATATACTCAAGGGCCAAACACATTGGCTGATGCCTGTAATCCAACACTTTAAGGCCAAGGAGTGCGTACCATTTGAGACCAGGAGTTTGAGATCAGTCTGGGCAACATGGTAAAACGCTGTCTCTACTAAAAACACAAAAATGAGCCAGGTGTGATGGTGGGTACCTGTAATACCAGCTATTCAGAAGGTTGAGGCAGGGAATCCTTGAACCTGGGAAGCGGAGATTGCAGTGACCCGAGATCATACCACTACATTCCAGCCTGGGCAACAGAGCAAGACTATGTCTCAAAAAAAGAAAAGAATATGGACTCTAGAGTGCACCCCCTTGCTTCAAATTAGACTCTACCACTAACTAGCCTAACTAGCTATATGATCTTGATCAAGTTACTTAACCTGGGTTTCAACCCTGATACCTGTCAAATGAGTATCATAGTAAGTGGGTACCCAAATCAGGCTTTTGTAAAGATTGAGTGAGCTAACATATGTAAATGCTTAAAATAATTTCTGGTATATAGTAAAGGTTATATATAAGTGTTAGCTACTATTCTCCAGTGTATTCTATTGAAACTATGTACTTTTTTACCCTTTCCTTTGAGAACCAAATTATTTGCCTTATCTTCTTGCATCCCCCAGTCCCCCATCTTTCTCCTGCACGTCAAAGCTAACAAATTTGAATTAAAAGGGAAGCACAATCAGAGAATTACTAAAGAGGAATATGTAACAACATGGGAATTCAGCTTGCCTGCTGCTAGTAATCAGACTGACATCCATAACAATCATTCAGAGGGTGACTGAAGTTTTCAATTCATGAAGCTACAGTCTCCCATTGGGCCTCTTTTCTCCATTCATACACTCCTTACTATTCTACCTAGCACTGCTTTGTAAGAAGGCCAAAAACGCCCTCCATGAACAAATGAGGCAAATCAGAAACTACTTACCTTGAATAGTGGTGATAACAGCTTTCTTCTTCCCTGAGTTTACAACTACAATCCAATACAAACAGTAGAATATCTTTACCTACCAAGAAGCAATGAGACTCAATCAAGCCGAGACTTGCTTTCAATTTCTATGAATGTGCAAACTCTTTTCTTTCCCTCCCTTAAGTCAAGAAACTGAGGACATAAAGATGAATCTAAACAAAATCAGACTTTTTTCTCTAAATTCTCATCTCCTTACTGTCTCTATAGTCTAGAATCCCAGGAATTATGGGAAAACTGAGAATATGTTTTACCTAGTAATTACATTAGAGATCATATTTAGAAAGTATGGTCATTATGAATTATTTATTGTTTTCCAGTAAGAAATACAAAGGACTTATTTTCTTCTTTTTGTTGAGATGGTGTCTCGCTCTGTCACCCAGGCTAGAATATAGTGCCACTACAGCTTCAAACTCCTGGGCTCAAATATTCCTCCTACCTCAGCCTCCCAAGTCGCTGGGACCACAGGTGCGTATCACCCCAACAAGCTACGAAGGACTTCTTAAAAAAAGAGCTAACAATACAAGGAAAGAGTAAAGGGAAAGAAGAAATTAAGATTAGAAATTGCATAAGACAGGGTTGAAGTATATGGATTTTTTTTTTTTTTTTTTTTTTTTTAAGAGACAGGGTTTCACCATGTTGGCCAGGTTAGTCTCGAACTCGTGACTTCAGGTGATCCAATGGCCTCGGCCTCCCAAAGTGCTGGGATTACAGGCGTGAGCCATCACGCCTGGCTGGAGTATATGGATATTTACAGACTCATCAATTCATCCTCTCCCAAAACTTCTCAATGAATACAGAAGTGGATTTGAGCTTTCAAAGATGGCTTCTCACTACCCTCCGTTCTCATCTGAGGTTGACATAGTGGGAACAGCATCTGGAGTCCATGTACATATTCAAAGAGATTAAAGTATGACAAAAATACATAGATTCTAAATATATACTTTAGACAAAAGAAGGGCTCCAAGCATCATAGGTACAAATAGCTAAGCAAATTGGTCCCGAGTAGAAGTCCAAGGGAGTCCAACTCTACAACAGCTTGTCCTTTGGAAGCACATTACTGCTTCGAGCTTGATTAAATATCAGTTATGAACAACCAAAATACACCTGTCTATAGTTGTGTGCAATCTCTAATGAGTGTGACAACTAAAGTCATGTTCTTAGAAAAGGTTCTAGGGAGAGAAAATTCAGTTACAACACTTATGAGCCATAACAGCAACCATTATAACACAAAAGAATAAGTAAACTTTTTAATTTAAAAAAAAAATACGGTGGCTCATGCCTGTAATCCCAGCACTTTGGGAGGCCGAGGCGGGTGGATCACGAGGTCAAGAGATCGAGACCATCCTGGTCAACATGGTGAAACCCCGTCTCTACTAAAAAAAATACAAAAAATTAGCTGGGCATGGTGGTGCGTGCCTGTAATCCCAGCTACTCAGGAGGCTGAGGCAGGAGAATTGCCTGAACCCAGGAGGCGGAGGTTGCGGTGAGCCGAGATCG